AAATAAGGGGGGGTTACCCCGCAGCGGGGTTTATGGGGGTCCCCGCCCGGCCCCCGCCGGCCCTGAGGGGCTGCCCGAGCCTGAAAAATCACGGCATCCCCCAGGAGTGAGCCCCGCCGGTTTACCCCCTAGGAAAAAAACACAGTCACCCTCCCGGAAAAAAAAAAAAAAAGAAAAAAAGAAAAAGAAAAAAAGAGGGGAAAAAACATAAAAGCAAGGACTCAACTTTCTGAACGCCCTAAAAAGAAAAAGAAACAAAAAATACAAAATAAACCAAACCCCCCAGAGTTGAAGGAATCGCCTACAAACGGCTTCAAATCTCAGCCGCCTGGTTGATGCCCCTTTTACCTTCCCGCCCTACGTACCTTACAGTCCTAAGCGTGTGGCGGCAGCGGTACGCTCAGATGACGGGGAGCGTTGCCGCTTTTCTAAACTCTGGGCTCCCCAACAATGCGAATGGCTCTCCATTGAGGATGCTGCACCGTGCCCTTCCTTTAAACGGATCGTAAAATGAGTTTCCTTCCCTCAGACAGGGAGTCCTGGTAAAGACAGCTTTTACTGCCTGCCTGTATTGCACATCATAAACTGGAAGGAGCACAATGGAATTGCCCCGGAAATTCTCCTTTCAATTATAGTTTGGTGCCCTGTGTACAAAGACTTTCTCACCAGTTAAAATTGTTCTTGGCGATATTTCGCACGGACCCTAAACTTTACGTTTTGTAAACGTGGGACACCCTCTCCCCCAAACACACCTCCAACACACACACACACACACACACACGCACGCACGCACGCACCCTTTGGGACTCTTTACGCGCGGTTATTGCAGCCCCATGAATATAGGTTACCGACAAGAAGCAAGTAAATTTTCTAAAGCCAGATCCCTGAGATATTGCTACTTCAGAGCATGCAAATGTGGCGGCTGCATGTAGATATTTGCCAAGTGTTAAGTACGTGAAAACGCAGTTGTTATTCGCAGGCGTAAGGGAAGAAGTTGGCGAAAGAGCCCCCTTCGGTTATTTCTTCCAATTCGCCAATATTAGACAATATCCCTGCGGTCGCAATCGCGATGTGGGAACACGCCGGCAGAAGAGGCTGCTGGAAAGGAATAAAGGCCCAAGAAGTTAAACGAATGCGAAGCAAACAAGACGACGACTAAGAAGATCAAAGAGGCTGTAGTAGATGACATTAGACCAATAAATTGCTCCTCTGGTGACAACATACCAAGATGCAAGAAGAAAGAAACAGCAAATATAACCAATGTCTAGACTTAAATATGGATAGCGTAGGACCGAATAGATTAGCTGGGTGCTTGTATTTCGAGCTCTCCGATTCTGTACAATTTGCACGTGTACGTCTTTTTCTTTGCGTGTGTGTGCTTACTGCCACCACCTTTTTTTTTTTTTTTTCTAATTTGCTTTCAGCTTTTTTTTTCCCCTTGCCAACCCTTAAGATTTCTCAAAGATCTTCACTGAATAAATCTTAAAAGGACCCTCAGACATGGGTCCCCGCCACCTTATTTACTTCCCCACCGTCCGCGCGTTAGGCATAACGCTGCCTCTGAAACAGCCTCTGAAATCTCTTGTTTTGTCGCACACACAACCAGGCTGGAGCCCCGCTCCTGAAAACGCACTTTTCATTTGAATGTATTTTTTTTTTCCAGTCGAGGAAACGGCGAAGGAGCGCAGATTGCAAGGTTTCAGTCACCGCAATATTCTCACACGCTTTAAAAATAATCCTCTAGGCGGGATGAATTGTATTTCTTTTATTTCGTGTGAGCTCTGGACTACCTCTCTTTGCCTTCTGAGCTTTTCTGGGAAGTAAAAGGTAGTGATAAAACGGTGCTCATAAGTTATAAGCGACCTGGGAGCACTACATGGTTATGTCTTGTGTATTAAGCAGTGTCTTGATGTGGTTCATCCTAGGGAGGATTTTGTTGTTTTGGAATCTGTTCTCGCCGTAATTTATCCACAATTATAATGGAGCGTACTGTGCCAAGTTATTACTTAGTATGACGACGCATAAACACTTTTTAATTTCAATATAATTTTACTGCCCAAGGAAAAAAAATAATTAATCATAATGAGTTTAGCAATACCATTGTAGACAAACATTTGATAGGAAGGCTCTTGTTAGAAAGCAGGAAATGGCTGTTACTTTTTATCCCTGGAAATAATTAAATCTTTGAAACAGCGCGGGGAAAAAATAGTTCAGTGCTCACACGAGCATGAGCTCATACTCAGCTCCCGATGCTGAATTTCGATATAGAGAGATTGGCTTTGATTTAAGGAAATGTAAATAAAAAGCAGAGAAAGTAGTTCTGTAACGGAGTACTGTGCAGCGATTTGTTTACATGTCTGGCTTAAACCTGAAAAATACAACGTTCGTACTTCAGCCCACGTTTTATGCTTCCGTTCCTCCTGCCTTTATTTTCCTTCCAATTACTTTTCCCCCCTCTCTTTTGGCAACTGCCACCTGAAAATACTCCACAGTTCCCCACTAAGCCTCATTCTCAAGACGCGAAAGCCAACAAAAGCAAAACGGAAAAAAATACGAGAACGACTCGGGGAAATCAAAAGAGAAGGCGAGGAGAAGTTAGGAATGACTTTGAGAGACACGTCAAGTTTGCAGAGCATCAGCCTGCTCGCATCTGTGTCATGTAAATATGACGGGTCCCACAGAGCTGAAATTGCTGGGGACACAAGCAGGGCTTTTTATTCGTATCAAAGACAGCTGTAGAGGAATTTCACTCGCCGGTAAATGATTTTCAAACGAGAGGTTTGCGGCGCTGCCCTTTCCCCGCACGGCCGTGGCTCCAGCTACGCGGGGCGGAGAAGGGCATTGGAAAATCCTTCGCTTCGCCCCCCGCTCCGAGGGCGAAGCTCTTCGGGGGCTCCGCTCCCGGGCTGATCCGGGGAGAGCCTCCTCCGTCCTGCCCGAACCCTTCCATTCCCCCTCTCTCCAAATATTTCATTTCTCACCGGCCTTTCGGGGAGATCAGGACACCCCGTTTGCAGGCTCAGAGCTTCGCCTGAGAAGGGCGAAGATTTGG